ATCTATGTGCAGAATCTATTGTTATAACGTTTATTAAAATCAAAATTGCTAATTGAACTTCATTCTCTTCCCTTCCAACCATGTGATGTCTACAAGCTCCCTCTCCGGTGCAGGCATCCTCACTTGGTCTTCTTCTGGGTTCGGGATCTTTGGCCGTCTTGATTGGCAGTGACGGGGTGACTTAACTTACACACATCTGGTAGTTCATTTATCTCGGTATATGACAAAATTGTACATTGAGCTGTACAGTTCAGTGCACATCTTCAATAAGAAGGCAAACAGAGAGTTGGCAGTCCTTTATTGCAGAAGAGACAGCCCATTGTTAAGCATGAATGTTGAAATGAAGGCAAAGAGGGAGAGAGTCACGTCTCCCCCATAACCAGATATACCAGGATTTCTCTTTGCACCTTCTGACAAATGGCGGCACAGGGCAGTGCAAAAAAGTTATTATCTGCTGTTGCAGGACTTGGCTTTAAAGTGAACCTGTTGCTTTGCTCTGTATTGGCAAAGCACAGGTTCACTTTAAAATTGGCCACAGACTATATGAGAATGGTCACATATACACGCACATTCCAGCCATGTCACTATGCCTTTTGGTTCAGCCATAAACAGGAATGCCTTGAGTCATATGGGTGCTCATTTTCTAATCCTGTGTAAAAGAAATCATGTCAGCACACGTTTAAACAAGCCATGTTAAGCTATGAGTTCTACTGACAACTGTTAAAGTATGAGATATATTGAGAACAAGCCCTGAGGGTGTGCAGGAAGAATGTATGGCCAATATTCTCAAGTGTTCCTGGTGCCGGCTTTTCCAATGGGAAACTGAAGTAATCAGACGAGGATCCTTAGAAAGACCTTTTAATTTAAACAGTATCTTCTCATAAGATTATATGTGCATTAAATGTATTTTAGGCAGGTTATGTACCAGTAAAAGCCCTTGTGTAGCCCTGAGACTGCTGCTGTGCTCCACCATCTTGGATGTGATGGCAGCTATCCCAGAACATTCAAAGATGTCACTCAAGTGACATTCTATAGTACCACTTCGGTCCTTACCTGGCAGCTACAAAAAAGTTTATGCAGAGAGGGGAGGGATGGAAGAGCTGGGCCAGCACAGAAAATAATTAGACACTCCCAGAAGAGGAGAAGACTATGATGTGCAGGAAGGTAGGGGGTTGTGCTAGAGAACTGACTTTCTAATGCAATCAGATTTGCTACCAAGTTTAGGGGCACAGTGCAAGTAAATAAAAAATGTTTACGGAAAGCAAAAATGCAGCAAGCAAGCATTTTAAATACTTTAAAACAATTTTCTGTTCTTTTACAGGGTAACCTGTTATGATACTTCTTTTAAAAATCTATGGGCAGCTTTTAGGGGATGTATAGTGGTTTTGTGTATATATAAATATATATATATTTATTTATTTTTTATTAACAGCGTTCAGGGCAGAAAAAAACATTCACTTTTTCATCAGGTACATGTTGAATGTTACATATAAATAATATTTAATAATTAGCAGATAACGCCCCAGGCTTTTTACATTTACCAGGCTGACCTTAGCTGCTTTGCTGAAAAAAAGATTGTTGTTCGAAAGCTCAAGCTCCAATTTTACACGTGAATACTGCCACATTCTCTCTATAGAAACTCATAATGCTCTGCCACACTGATATCATGGGTGCACCATGTAATATTTGTTAATTTGTGAAAAAAGTGAGAGGCGGTGCCTAATCTGGAAATAGAAATGTCTGAGTGAATGTATGAATGAACGGTTGGACCTAATTTAAGAACATCCCACAATTCTCTGTGCACTTAGCAAACAACAACGATCAACATGTTAGGATTCCCTCAGGTGGAGACTGAAGGTGAATGCAGCCCTTGCTACGTTTTTAAATTCCTTTTTATACCTTAGACAGGGTTTCAGCCAAGAAGAGGAGCCCAGCGTGGGACAGAGAAGACAGAAGACGCCTCCTTTTTTGGTTAAATTATAGCAAATAAAATATTGAACAAGGGTAAGCAATGCGTGTCTTGTTTTTTTTCTTGTAATGGGTAAAGGGTTTGAAGGACCTTGGTTGAGGGTTAACAAAATACTTGCCCACACCTGGAAACAGTTAGGTTGCACATAAGGACCCACTTCATGTCAGCCCCCCCTCCTGTGCTCTAAGGATGTGAAAGGGTCCAATGCCTGCCAGCAGGGACTTTACCTTTTTGGAAATGTTTCTGAAAAGATAAACTAACTTTTAGCACCAGTAGATCAGCACTGGTATCGCACTACCATAAGACCCCCCCTCACACTAACTATCCCTGTAACCCTACAAATCCTCTCTTATGTAAACATAACCCATTGCTCCCCTTCTCATCTCGTTCACCTGAAGGCTCTGCACTAAAGACCAATTACGGTGCACTGATATGCAACCAGCTATTATTGTTGTCAGCTCTAGTCAACCTCTGCTACCGTGTTTCCCCGAAAATAAGACACTGTCTTATATTTTTGGGGGCTCAAAAAAACACACTAGGTCTTATTTTCGGGGTAGGTCTCATTTTTTATTTTTTTAATGTACAACAATCCACACTTCTTCATGTACAACAGTCTACATGTATTCATGTACAAAAATATGGTGATCGGGGCTATCAGGGGTGCGGTACCTTTCCAAGAGCAATTTGCTAAACAATCGCTGGCCAGAATGAGCAAAGCCCACTTTCACTATCGATTCCTCACAGGCAGAGTGCATTTAGTATCACTCCAGGAGCCGGCGCTATAGAGGAGGCATCGGCTCCCTCCAGTGCCACTTTTCTTCCTCCAGCACTGGCTTTGTTGGCACCGCTGATTCTCTCCCGCCTCTCCTGCGGTTCTTCAAGTTCCCCCTTATGCCACCACCGTCCCTGGGAATGGTCACAACTAGGTCTTATTTTCGGGGTAGGTCTTATATTTTAGCAATTCCCAAAAATAGTACCAGGTCTTATTTTCGGGGTAGGTCTTATTTTCGGGGAAACAGGGTACGTTACAAGCCTGACTGCTGGTTAGTGAAGCAACATATGAAGTTATGGGCTACAGAAAGGCTTAGGAGGCAGGCAGACCCAAGTTTATGGCCACATATAATGGTTGTTGTATGCCTATCAGAAGTCTGTGGTATTGTGATTCATGAGGATGCTATGGAAAATCCACCTAGATATGCAGCCACATGGAAGTTCCTTCTCTACAAACTTAGTGCAAGATGTACCATTTTTCTGTAACCCAAGGTTCACTTTTAAGTTTGATAGTATTACACAGTTTTTTGTCATCAGTGAAGGCTATAGAATGGGGGGCTGTGGGGGGTAAAATAGGCTTTTAGGCTATATAGGGTATTATTATATAGACATTAGGTCTGCTCTAAAAACACAGGGTGAAGTTGTACATTGGACATTAGGTTGACATGTTATGTTGGTCACATTCCAAGACAGTGACATGAATAGATATTCTCCAGTGAATTTTGCAAATGTTATATAGCAAAACAGTGTTTAAATGGCAGGTGATGCAAGTAGTGTTTATCTAAAGGTTACATGTCCCTGGTGAAGTCTGCAATTAAACTCAACAAAGATAATTCCTATGGAAGTTATGCTGCGTTGACAATATAGCAACTTTCAATGCACTTGGGAGAGCCAAATAATCCCAGAACGTTAGATAATTACATGTCTTACGGTCATGAAATGTAAGTGGGAAGGAAGTGTAGTCCAAACTATTACCCAAAGTAAGGAATGACACAAGAACAACTGGTTTTTGGAAAAGTAAACTCTTTAAATAAGCATTATATTATAGAAAACTAAACAGCAGCTGTAATACATATTATCAAAGAATTTCTAAAACATTACATTTTTGAAAACTGACTTTTATCACACTCTCATCATACCATATATCTTGTTAATATACATACTATACTTTTGAAGCAGAACCCACAGAAGAGCTATTATTGTAACTCGGGTTATCATCAAACCCACTACATCAGAGCCAGCCAATCAGTGGCTTTGCCTGAACACAGTTCCTGGCTGATGACAAAGGCTACATGACTCTCCAGCCTTGGCAAAAGCCTGGGCCCGCAGCTTACCCAAGCCTGCACTAGAAATCAGGCGGGACTATAAACTTTCTAGTCAGATAATATGGGAAAGTAAAGAATTACTTGAATGGGAAACTGTAATAGTTTAATTCAGTTTTATTTATAAACTGTATTTATTTGTGTTTACAAGTTTTGAAATTGATCCTTTGCATTTTGTTTTCTAATAATTGTATTAATTTTGTTTTTCTACTAATACAATTTGTTTCTTGAATACAAGGTGCTTCCATAAGAGTTTTTGACAAACAGAATTTCTAATAGCAAATCCTAGATGTGACTGCTTATTTTTTGATTGCTTCTTTGTAATTGAATGGGCAGAGTGAGGGAGAAGGTGTGTCCCTCCCTTTGACATACTTAGCTCACTTAGCTGTGTGTTTTGAGTATAACTGAATAGCTGGAGATTGAATTACAATTCATAGCATGGAAGTAAAACACTACAGAAAACCTGAAGGTAGCTGGTTTCTTGACTCCAAATAAGAAAGGTTTCTTGGCACCACCTGCTGTTTAGAAGTGGTAAATGTGAAATATTTATATGCAATATTTAATATTCATCTGAAAAAAAACCTGCAATTTTTTGCTGTCTGTGCCCCAGATTTCTATTCTCTTCCAGAGACATAACAGGAAGTGAGCAGAAATAACTAAACGTTTTTAGACGTAGAGAGGGTGAATCTCCCCAGTGGAGACACAGGCAGCAATAAAAGCCTGGAGGAAGTTCTAACTGTTCTGTACTCTATCCCAAAGCCTAATGTAACTGATGTTATTCATGTTTCTACCCTTCTATGCCTAACATGGACTTTTATTTTCTGCACCACTACAGATATATCCGGTTCATCTGAAGTGTATTCTCTGGGTTCCAAATTGGTAGTAGCTGCCCTTCCATACTGCAACCATGGGCTCCAGCAATTAAGACAGATCATAGAGATAATGGAAGGTGTGCCACAGAGGATCCCGGGGAGCCAGGCACATACAACTGCAAGGCACATTTTCCTCAACTTCATGTTTTATGTGTAACGTCCAGCAGAATGCAGCCAGCTAATGTTATTACGAGCAAGATGTGATGGGGCTCAGGAGCCGCTGTGTTACCGAGCAGTATTTCCAGGGTTCACCTTTTTAGGTACATGACTCTCTCAAAATTGTATTTATATTGCATTTTTCAACATGCTCTGTATGTCAGTTTAAATTTCCAGTTACATCCCAATTACATTACATCTGATAATGCCTGCCAAATTGGAAAGAAGAGCCAGATCAGTGGTAACTGACACTACACTAACTGCAGCTTTCAGTGCCATTTAAAAGCCTGGTTATTGACTTGGACAGATGTATAGACCGCATACTAAAAGTCAGGTGGTGTTCAAGCATGTGCCCATTCTTATCTTGATTGAAGAAAATAGGTCACCAGCACTCCATAAGTTAAAATGAATGAGTCCTTTTAATGGACAATGATGTCACAGAAATCCAACATGAGCACCCATTCTTATCTTGGGATCTGTTACCAAAAGTCTAACAAGCAATATATTTTTTTTTCACTTTAAGTGTTTGCATACAAAGTAATGTTACATTGAAAACATGAACACTTAATTATACTGGAACAACAAAGGGAAAAAGACTCCAATAAACGTATCCGGCATGAATGGTATGAATTTAGAAAAATAAAATACAGATGTGTAACAAAGGCTTTTTGTTTGTTAAAAGAGAACTAAAGCCAAAACTTTTTTTTGGCTTTAACTCTGTTTTGGGTCACAGGAGTAGATTTACTAACGTACTACTGTGACCCAAAGTCAGCTGCAGTGCAGAAACTTGTGCCTGATTGACAGCTAACTCTTCCTCTCTACGGCTAGAGCCAATTGTGACTGCCCCTCCCCTGTCTGTCCCTCCAATCAGCGCTGGGGGAACAGAGAGGGGAGGGGGGAATCCCTGTTCACCACCGCTCCCTGCAGGAAGAAGACTATGAGCTGAGCAATCAGTGGTTCGTGATCGCCAAGCTCTCAATCTATAAGGGCTAGTTCGCACCAGCTCCAGCCCATTACGATTCGGTAATGTCCATGCAGAGCAGCAGGGAATATCTATACCCTCTGTGGGTGGAAGCCCCTGTTAGATATGCCATGCCTCCATCACTTTTCCACAGTAATATTATTGCATTCACAGATAATGTAGCGGGTGATAATGAGTGGGCAGAGCATGTTCTCCTGAATCCTTACGCGAGTCAACGGCTTAATTATCTCTCAGTAACCAAACAACTTGGCCAAAGCCAATTCTTGAACAGAAATAGAATCCAGTAAAAGGTAAACAACATGAGGATGACATTTAAAAAATGCTAGTCATGCTTCATTCAATATTATGTTCTAGATGGCTACAGTTCAGCTTTAAAATAAATCTGTCACAAAACTGGCATTTCAAACTAAACATGAAAAAAATGTGTAATCAGACGACTTTTCCTTTTCAGCTTTGGCCTGTCCTTCCGTCCTGCTAATCCTTCTAAATGGCCTTTAAAGTAATGACCAGCCTCACTGACTAAAAAGAAGGCTTGGGAGGTGGAAGGCTGTAAACAATTTTTACAGGAAAAGATTTGCTCATAAAATCAGCTGCCCTTGTGTGTGGATCTACTGTATTGATTGATTTTGCATAGTTTTACTGTACTAGTTATACTAGTTTTTACTGAAGCTTAATCCTGCTTAGTAAGCATTGCAAAGGTTTGCAACAGGTTTACTTGTAGTTATTTGCAGTATAGATGTGAAATTACATTTTCCTTTTTTTTTTACAGGCCAGTAAGTAAAGACTAATGGATTGTGTATGAAAAATATTTAATAATGGAGTCTTCAAACTATAACAAGCAATTTCATCAGCCTTGGATGGTTAATAAGTGTTCTAAGGAGTGGACTAACTTGGCAAAGCCATTGAGCCACCCTATGGCATGGAACCAGTCCTGGACACGAGCCCTTGATCCCATAGGTAGAGAATCTTATGGCTCACATGTAAAGCCAATACCTCTACCAACATATCGATATGGCAGTAATCTGCAACCATGTGTTAGTAATGAAGCTCACGCTGATTGTTTTCTACAACATTTACCTTCTGCCAGCTCAGATGTTAGATTTGAAGACAGATTTCACATTCCATACAATCACTTTGAAAATATCCATCACAAAGATGTAAATGAAGATGTAACATCACAATGGATAACAGCGGGAACAGAACTAATAAAAGTAGCTACAGTACCAATTTCACATTCATTACTCAGAACTCCTTGGAATGTCATAGAGAATGCCTCTGAGGCAGTAAGAGATTATGACTGTGACATTGTCAGTGAGCAGCCACAACTTTTACATTGCTCAAATTCTGAATCAAAAGTAACTAGAGGGATGGAGGAAAGCCATGTCTCTTCAGATGCCAGAATTGAGGACCCTCACTGTGCTGACATGAGCTCTGGTTTAGAACCTTTCAATAATGACCAATCAGACATGATGAGGGTATCAGATACTATTGAAGAAGAATATAAAGAAGAAGGGGTCAACAATTGCTTTTCACAAAATGTAACCAAAACCAAAGACATCAGATGCCAGCCTCAAGTGAGTGAAGATGAATCTTGTACAGAGAAAAGCAAGTTCCTGTTGATAGATGATCAAGGGGTTCCTTACACAGTTTTCAAAGATGATATCATCTCATCACTTCAAGATGTTGATGACCTAGATGATCTATCATCAGAGGGACCCAGAAGACTTCATTACTGCCCTATGTGTTTCAGGTCATTCTTGTACGTGTCAGATCTGGAACGCCATAGCATTACCCACTCAGAATGCAAACCATTTGAATGCAAAGTGTGTGGGAAAACCTTTAAGCGCTCTTCTCACCTGCAACGGCACAAGCATATACATACTGGAGCAAGACCTTTCCTATGTAACATCTGCCGCAAAGGCTTCCGAGAATCTGGTGAACTACAAAGACACCAGAGGGTGCACACTGGGGAAAAGCCCTATCAATGTGAAATATGCTATGTGCGCTTCACAGAAAGAAATACCCTCCGCAGGCACATGAAGAGGAAACACACCATCCAAGCTTTGTTTCGGCAGGTTGCTGCAGACAACAGTGACTGGGAAGAAAACTTTATGAAGAGTCTTTTAGATGACAGTGTGCTGTGATTGCTGGGCAAATACAAATGTTAACTGTATGTTTAAAATAACTCTTCCAGTCCTAGACCGTGCAAGATGTCAATAGCCAAGTGTTGTGTACTGCTGACAGAGTATTTAAAGGAAAAGTGTACTGAGAAAGCATGGAGGCTGCCATTTCTCTAAATGCTAAATTTCTGGTTGCAATGTGATGATTCGTGGCCTTTAATACTTTCTGAGTCACTGACTTGGAAAATGTATGCAGATTAGGGTGTCTGACTTGACTGTGACTCTCCTGGCCTTCTTGTTCTGTCTCCGAAAGATCTGAAGCCAGAAACAACCACACAAGTTTTAGAAGAAAGAGTAAATCTAGATTCAAAGCACCATACTATGATATTAAAGTTCCGATACAGGATAAAAAAAGACTGTATACAAAGCTTACATCTTTGCCCCCTTTATCAGGGCTAAAAAATAACACAAAGAAAATATAAAGAAATATTGTTTGTAGCCCTGATGAAGGGGAAAGGCTGTAGTCTCTGAAACTCTTGGCTTTGTGTACAGTCACAGTGTGGCACTTCAGTCCTGGATTTACATATCCCTATCACAACCCAGGGTGACTGTGGAAATCTGTTGGTGTGTAGAAGCCACCAGCATTCAGACACCCTATAACAACACCACCTCCACACTATTGGATGGTATTATGAACATTTCAGGGTTTCAGCAACATGCTTCCACTCTCCCAATAATTTTTAGGAGGCCAGCAATGTCTAGCTTGTTATTTTTTTTATACATGTTTCCTTTAACCTTTTACTTGCTGTTGACTTAACAGTTGCACCATGGCAGAACTAGTGGGTATCCAATGTTATGTAATGGTTTTCTGTAGCTGCCAGGTCCTAAACATGCTCACACTTTATATACAGTATGTGACTCCTCTGCTTAACTGCAACCGCACAACATCCAGAGCATGTCCCCTACATTATGTGTTCTACTATCCATGACCATCAGAGCAAGAACACACTGGGAGCAGAGGGGCAAACAGATTAAGCAGTTCGCCTTTTAAAAAAAGGGGAGTGCAGATATTAGGTACTGCATGTTGTCATAAAATGTGGGTGAAGTAAGTGTTAGCATAGATGAAGAAAGTAGTTGTTTGCATTAGTTAATCATTTACTAGTTATTTACAGGTGCAGGAATATTCAACTAGATGCTTTTTCCAGTAGAGATTTATTGGTCTTGTGTTATCAAAGACAGCGAGTGCAACAGTGCCAGTGTTTCTTTGGTGCCCCTTCATAATGACTGTATAGTTCAATAGAGTTAAGCAGTATGGAAGAGTTATGCTATGCCAGTGATTCTTAAACTGAGGGACGCACCCCCTTGGGGGGCACAGTGGTCCTGCAGAGGGGTGCCCTACAGTTTGAGAAGGTGGACATTGCAAATAGCGTTGCCATCCTTTTGGTTTAAGCTGGGGTTGATGACTGATGACACTAGCCCCAGGCTCCTGATCCTTTTGTTAGTGGAGTAAACACTAATCAAAGAAGTCTATATTTCAGTAGAAGAGATGAAAGAGTGCTTTCTCATTGCTACCAAGCTGTGCTATGTGATGATGCTTGATGCATAGGAAGTGGATGTAAGGCTAATGTAAAGGACTGTCTCAACCTAGTAAAGCACCTTTTCCTGTGGTCACCCATGTCTTCATTCCATTTATTTCAATTTACAACCCCTAACAGTGCATGATTCAACTTGAACCATTTGTTTTGTTGTCCACTTTCCCAAATGTTAGGATTGGATTTTGTATTTCACCTTAATTGTATGATTGTAAATATATATGCAGTTCAAAACTTTGCTCCCCTGCTGTCCAGTTGACCAGGTCACCAACACCATTGCTTTTCTTGTTGTATGTGCCCGCAGCCCATACTCTGCGTTTATTTGCTACCAGACAGAAGATTAAGGTGATGTTCCAAACTTAGAGCTACAAGTCAGAGAATTAAGGCAGAATGTATTTTTCCTTTGAATTCTCAAACTTTATAGCTCCAAGTTCGAAGGTTGTTCACAAAGAATGTCTGACTGAAAATGCATTTTTGAAAATGTTGCCATGTAACAATAACGTTATAGAATGAAAAATCAGCAGCCCAATACCAACACACGCATGCACACCATTAATATCACAGTTGGTTTCTTAACAGTGAGCAATACACACCCAGTGGTCTAGTTTTCAATTGAAATGTTCTGTTTTGTGTTTCTGTTGTCTCTTTAATACACAAGTAGGTTTAGATATATAATAAATATAAACTGAATTAAAGCAATAACACAAAGAATTAAAGCAATATCTATCCCAATAGCTAAAACAACACCTCCATAACATAGAGGGTTGCAGTTAAGCAAAGAGATATGCAGATGACCAACGGCTTCTTTAGTAACAAATACAAATTATCCCAGCTCCCGGAAAGGTAATTTTGGCAAGAAAGAAAAAAATGTGCTGGTGTTTTGGGGTTACAAGGTCAGGTATTTATCAATATAAAGGTAGAGCTCTGATAGGAAAGGCCAATGCCAGTATAAATTCCTTGTGGGCTTCTGCAGATTTCCAATTTTTCAGTAAAAGTAAAACAACACCTGAATAAATCTTCTTTGATGAATCTGGCCTCCCATTTTCTGTCACACCACATACATTAACATGTATTGCAAGATACCTGTTGATCTGCAAAACAATGCACTCGGCTCTCATGTCTTGTTTTTACTGACCAGATACAGGATTGTTATGTACTGAATGGTGTCAGCCCTGCCCATTGTCTCTTTCTAAACTACACTACCACTCCCACTCTCAGATCTTCACTAGGGATGCACCGATACTAGTATCGGTATTGGTGCTGATACCGAGTATATACCGTACTAGTATTTGCCAATTGCACCGATACTTATTCTGATACCGGAAGTTCGGGTATCAGGAAGCCAAGAGGCGAATCATTACATGTCGCCTGGCTTCCTGATTGGCCAGGAAGCCGGCTCCATGCTCCCTCTTTACTTGGTGCACTTGGTATCGAGGGATATTGGAGCTGGCTTCCCGACCAGTCAGGAAGTCAGGCGGCGTGTAATGACTCGCCACTCGGCTGCCTGATTGGTCAGCTTCCCAACCAATCAGGAAGCCAGGTGGCGAGTCATTACCCGCTCCCCAGCTTCCTGATTGGCTCAATGCTTCCTCATCACCTGGTGAAGAGGGAGCATAGAGCTGGTTTCCCAGCCAATCAGGAAGCCGGGCGGTGTGTAATGACTTGCCGCCCAGCTGCCTGATTGGTCAGGCAGCTGGCCAATCAGGAAGCCGGACAGCGAATTATTAACTGCCCCCCAGCTTTCTGATTGGCTTCCTCATCACCTGGTGACGAGGGAGCATATAGACGGCTTCCTGGCCAATTAGCCGGGCAGCGACTCATTACATGCCGCCCGGTTTCCTTAATAGGACTTCCGGTGTTGGTATTCAGTATCAGCGAGTACCAAAAAAAAATATCGGTACTTGATACCAAGAAACCGCTATCGGTGCATCCCTAATCTCTTCAACATAAAGGACAGTCATTCTGTAGTCCATAATAAGAACTAGCAATGCTAAATAGACTCTTTGAGAGAACACTGAAAATGTGCAGAGGACACAGGACAGCTCTGAATTTCTGACACGATCAACTGGTATATTTAAACATAACAACAGACGACAAAAGAAGTTCATTGTTAGGGTTTATATATGCTTTAACAGTGAAGAGATTGCATGAGTACAAAGAAGGCAGTCTACTAAAAGCATATTTTCTTTAAAGCTGAGCTAGAGGCAGATATAAAAGACACAAACAAATGCCGCTCAGTATTTATTAATACATCATAAAATGTATGTTTATTGCAAGCAGAGTAAATGCATTTGACGTGGTCTCATCATTTGCAATCCACTGTACAGGGGAGTTTAGACATTGGAGAAGCTAGGAGTCAATCAGGTGTGTTGCATTGCTCATGTACTAACAATGGATGTAACTGATAGGAGGAGAGAACAGTGTGACAGATAGATGAGCTCAACAGTCTGCTGCTGTACAATCACAGGCTGGAAGAGGAAGAAGACCTGTAATGGTAAATAAAACTCCAAAAACCTTCCCCTTTCTCCTAGAAGTTGTCTTTGAGTATACTACTACCCGTAGTGCATGCACAGTGTAGTTTGCACACCCGGCCAACTTGTATGATGTTGAGAATGGAGCCAGATACAGGACTGTGTAACTCCAGTGCACTCGATGGTTGAAGAAGGAAGATGTCTGACTGTACAGAAGATGGGAGTGGGTGGAGAGGCTACAGCGATCTGTAGCCACTGGTGGAGACCTGACTAGGAGGTATGTCCGCCATAATGAGCAAGTATGCTGTGCGTAGTTTGTGACAAGAGCCCCCTCTCATCTGGCAAATTAGTTCAGCTTTAACTGCAGCAGAGAAATATCAGGCCCTCTGTCCTGTCAGGCAGGGCAGTGCTACCGGTATGTGGCATAGCTGTGTAAATGTCAGGACCGAATGGATAGCAATTCAAATCCTTTGACAGGTAGAATAGCTCCCATATATGCATTGCATCTGTGTACTTAGCTGTAATAATTCAGCCCTTGTCAGCCATTAGCCTTCATATATTCCTCATTATCTTCAACAAGTACCTCATTATTGTTAATTTGTCCCCTTTATGTCTTCGTTTATCTCTTTTGTTATTGCTTGTCCCTCTTTACAAAATTGTCCCAGTGGGCTGTTACTCTGAACTCATTACATGAAATGCTTCATTTGTGCCTCATTACGCTAATTTATTTATTTTTCGAAATTCCTTATTTATAAAGACCCCTGGGGGGATCCAACAGCAGGCGTAACAAACATCTATCAGAACATGCTAGCTACACACGTTAATATCTCGTTAGGTTTAATGCCAACCTTTCAGCTCATTACCCATTGCCTAACCCGCCTGGGGTCTGAAAAGGTTTTTGCATAACATAGGTGAAAACAGAAAACCGGGGAAGCGAGGAGGGGCAGTTAAATACGTGAGTAAACCCCTACAAAAAAGGGGTACGAGCGTAGAAAACAAAAATAGTAAGGTACATTTATTTTGATCAA